AGTTTGGTTAGGTATAAGATAAAATAAATATATATTTGCTAATGTGAGTGGGAATCATTTTGTGTGATACCAAAGTGATACTTGCAAAGATCAAAGATTTTATGAAAAATATGAATATATATTTTATGAAAAATATGAATGTATGGTCAGAGTCCCCAACCTGTCCTTTGAAGGTGGCCTATATGCAATGATATCCCTTCGGTTGTGAACACCCAAATACCTTTCAAATACCTTTGCCCACCAAGAGTAGCAGTGTTCCATGGAGAAATGATTGATTCTGTGTCTGACAGAAAGACTATGAAGGACAAATCCAGAGTATTTCAACTTCATAACAGTTTATTTTGAAAAGCAGATATAATCATAATGAACCAATTTTCAATGCTTTGTGGCTTTTGGTCTTGTGTGAAAAGACAAAGCCACAGTTTTCTTCTGGATCTTTGTAGTTTCTAGCTTCATATTTATGTCCATGATCTATTTCAATTTGCATACCACATGAGTGAAGGGTTAAATTTAAAAATAATTTATTTTGGTATATGGAAACTCTCTCATAGTTGTTTTTCCATTTTTCTAGAATTATTTTTTGAACAGACTACCTCTTGCCAATTAGATTGTTAAAAATCAGTTGTCGTATATGTATAGCTTGTCTCTTCTTATGCCAAAAGTAGTCTTGGTTATTTTAGCTTTATAAGCTACAGGTAATGTGAATCTTTCAACTTTGACCTTTGTTTTTAAAAGTTGTTCTCTCTATTCTAGGTATTTTGTATTTACATATGAATTTTTAAAACAGCTTGTCGTCCTTCACAAAAATGCTTTTTTTGTGTGTGTGAATGTAGTATACAGAACAATTTGACAGGAATTGACATCTTAACAATACTGAACCTTTTAGTATTTAAACAGTTTGTCTCTCCATTTCTTTGGATATTTTGCAAAACCTGCTTATTAGGTCTAGTAAGACTTTTTGTGGAGTTCTTGGGATCTATGAAGAAGAATATGGTGTCTATAATTAACGACACTTTTATCTCTTCCTTTCTAGATTGCAGGATCTGCCAACTATCTATCTTTTTGTTTTCCTTATTGTACTGGCAAAGACTACCATATAATGTTAATTAGAAATAGTGAAAGCAGAGCAGATACTCTTGCCTTTTCTCCAATTGACAACAAACATTTAGTATTATTAAGTATGATATTAATTATAGATTGTCTACATAAGTGTTTTAACAGTCTAGAGAAAGCTGCCTTTTGTCCCTAGTTTGAGTTTTTACTAAAAATACATGTTGAATTTTTGTCAAATATTTCCTGCTTCTATTGAAATAGTTAAATGATTACTTTGTTTCAGGCTACTGATATCATGAATTATACTCACTGATTTTGTATGTTGAACAAACATTCATTCCTGATCTATTAGGTCATGATGTATCTAGTTTCAAAATAGAGCTGAGTTTATCTGCAATATTCTTTTAAGATTAGTATCCATGTCTAAGAAAAAGTTTGGTCATTTTTTTCCGTATAATGTTTCTGACTGTTTTAGCCTCAATATAATCCTCTTCTCTTTCCTGGAAGAGACATTGTAGAATTAGTATTTCTTTTACTTAAATATTTGGTTGTACTCAAGTCTTCCTAATGTCTTTTAAGTATCTTTAACTGAACATGTTCTCTTCATTGCTTGTATTAGGCATTCATATTGTTCATTATTATGTACCTAAACTTTATTTATTTTGATGTGTATTATCATGGGATTACTAATTACATTATTTTTTGAATCAACATTTCTGTTTTGTGGGTCCCTCCCTGCCACCCCATTTCTTTATCGTGTTATCTTTTCTTATCATGTTATTTTTACTTTTTTTATTCACAATTTTGTATCCTCATCTATTGAGAAAGATGCTTTGATATTTTCAGGCTTTCTTCTTACCCAATCTCTACTGTTGCTATATATTTTCATTTATTAAAGATTTAAGTGGAATTGATTTTATAAATGATATGTGATAAATTTAAGATTTTTTCCTTTGTTTTACATAGATAATTGAGTCAGAAATAGTATGGAAAATCTATTTTTCTCCTACTGCTCTAGAGTGCCATCTTTATCATAATTCAAATGTCTACGGCTAAGAGTTTTTCTAGATTCTCTTTTACCCTTGTTGTATTTGAGTACTCATACATAATACCACATTTTCTTAAATGCTATCATTTTATAGTAAGTCTTAGTCTGATAAATTCCCCAATTTGTCCTTCAAAAGTGTGTTGAATATTCTTGCCATAGACTGTTTCTATACATAATTTTAGAATCAAATTTTAAGATAAAGAAAGCCTATTGGGATTTGGTATGGAATGAATTAAATATTGTAGGAAACTAAATTCATCTAACTTCACTGAGGACTGATGAGGGACATGACAAAGCATATGTGTTAGATAACTGTCAGGAGCAACAACAACATGTGTTGATAAAGAAAGATGAAAAGCATTACATGTTATACAAAACAGAATATCAGAGTAAAGTCAATGTAACTACTGGCAAAAATGAATATGTGCTATTTGCTAACTAATAGCAGATTTATAAAAATTACAGCTTTAATTACATATAACCACAGTTTATTGGAATTTGGTATGGAATACATCAAGTATTGAGGTAAACTAAACCAATCTAACTTAATTGAGAAATGTTGAGAGATATGATTAATCACATCCACTAGAACTTTGCAGCCAGATGCTGGCTACCTGATAGCTATATGATATTTTTATTATTCAGTAATAAAATTAACTAATTCTATATAAGTGGGTTGTTCCTTTGGATTTTCTTTCTCTACCTTTAATAATAAATACTTAGGGGGAAAACTAACACCCTTAACATTGAGTTTCTATACCCATCATTTAAGCCTGACCTTTATGGAGGTTCTCACCCAGATGAGTCCAACTTTTTCATCAGACATTTCAGCCATGAGGATCAGCTGTGCTGGAAATGTGAAGAAGGTAAGCAGAATTGTACACAGATACTGGCCTAACCCAAAGACCATTTCATTTTTGCCAAAACTGCTCTCCTGAAGGTGACTTTCAGCAGGATTGCTTGTCTAAAGCTGCTCAAGAAGGCGTAAGAGTTAGGTAGGAGACATTTGAGAGATATCAAGTTCTCCAGGCTAGGTAGGCATGTCTCTTCTCTTACCCCAAGATTTTTTTTTTCCTGTGAACTGTCCTCAGTTCCCAGATAAGACAATTGAGACTGCAGGGTAAGGGTGAAAAAGGAGCTAAAGAGACACAGGAATAGTTTTGATGTTCAATCACCTCCTCATATATGTTAATATAGAAAATAAGTGTATTTTAAAATACCAATATATCATAACAAGAACATAGCCAACAGGGTCAGAGACAGTAAAATGAACCAGTTGCAGAGGTGGGCAATCAAAAGAGGAGTGTTGAAAGTGTAGAGTAAGTTCAAATGTGAAGATGCACATTTGTCTTAGGATTCTGTTGTGTGGGAATAGAAAAAACAAAAATTAACTGAAAATGTATTCTACATTGTACTTTTATTTACTGATAAGAAAAACATCCAGACAAGTGAAGTAAGCTTGTCTGAATTTACATAAGCTGTGAGCAGCTGAGCCAGGACTAAAACCCAAGACTGTATGGCTTCAGTACAAAAGTCTTCCACCAAACTAACTTCCCAGCAGTTAGGGAGAGTAAGGGGAGAACTTGTCAAAATCCAAGACTTGGGGTCCTTTCAGAGATGCAGTTCAAATTATATGCTTGAGATAGAAAATGCATAAATGTCAACATTACTGAATCAACTCAACCTACCTCTGTACTTTTATACAGGAGTTTTACATGCAGTTTTAGGGCTTAAACACGTTAATATAATACAGGTTCTAGGGATTGCTGTTTTGTGTTATTCTTTTATACTCAAGTGTTCTTCCATGTCCTTTATAAAGAATTACTGTATGGTCATAATTATGCCAACCAGATATTAGTGATTTCAATTTCTGATTACATTATTCGGTATAATAAGGAATATGTAAATCGATGCTATTCTGTATACATACTTTATTCTACTGATCAATGAGTTCATAACTTCAAAAAATTTTCACTCCATATTAAAAATGCCTTCCCATATATAATTATGTTTGTTGAAAAAGGTATTACCATACTAGAAACATTTATTCCCTAGGAAAATTTTATCTATAAAGATGCTATAAAGATGTTGTCCCATACTCATCAAGTTAATCAGGTTCCTGGTTATTATTAAGGCTAAAGCTAATATTGAAGGCTTTTCTGTGGTAAGTTCATTAAGATTTTATGGCTGTATGAATTCTCTGATGTACAGTGAGTTGTGACTTCTGAATGAAGGCTTTCCCACATATCACACATTGATAGGGTCTTTCCCCAGTATGGATTCTCTGATGTAAAACAAGGTCTGACTTCTGGGAAAAGGCCTTTCCACATTCAGCACACATATAAGGTTTCTCCCCTGTATGAATTCTCTGATGTCCTGGGAGGTGAGACTTCTGAGAGAAGGCTTTCCCACATTCAGTGCACACATAGGGTTTTTCTCCAGTGTGAATTCTCTGATGTCCAATGAGATGTGATTTCTGACAGAAGGCTTTACCACATTCACTACATGTATAGGGTTTCTCTCCAGTATGTGTTCTCTGGTGTATGATGAGCTGTGACTTCCGGGAGAAAGTCTTCCCACATTCAGTACATTCATAGGGCTTCTCCCCAGTATGAATTAACTGATGTGTAATGAGTTCTGTCTTTCTGCTGAAGGCTTCTTCACATTGAGCACACTTGTAGGGTTTCTCGCCAGTGTGAATTCTTTTATGTATAATGAGGTGGGACTTCTCACAGAAGGCTTTTCCACATTCGGTACATTCATATGGCTTCTCTCCAGTATGAGCTCTATGATGTATAATAAGTTGTGACTTTTGGGAAAATGCTTTCCCACATTCTCTACATTTATAAGGTTTCTCTCCAGTGTGAATTCTCTGATGTATAATAAGGGGTGATTTCTGGGAGAAGGCTTTCCCACATTCACTGCACTCATATGGTTTTTCCCCAGTATGAACTCTCTGATGTATAATGAGGGATGATTTTTGAGAGAAGGCTTTCCCACATTCAGAACATTCATAAGGTTTCTCCCCAGTGTGAGTTCTCTGGTGTACAATGAGATGAAACTTTTCACTGAAGGCCTTTCCGCATGCACCACAATCATATGGTTTCTTTCCAGTATGAATTCTTTGATGTACAATAAGCTGTGACTTCTTAGCAAATGCTTTTCCACATGTAATACAGACACAGGTTTTCTCCTTAGTTTCAACATTCTGATATTGGATAAGGGATTGTTTATTGCTGAAAATGTTTTCACATTGATCATCATCACAGAGTATTACCTCATTGTGAATTCTCTCAAGATCAGAATTGGACACACTGTGACTAGATAATTTTCCCAAACCCAAACTCTCATTAAGGTTTTTTCTTGAATTACCCTTATAAAAATTTGGTAGGCCAATATTTGGTTTTAAGTTCTTTTCAAATGTATTATATTTGTGGAGTTTTTGTTCTGATGTATCTTGTTCTATGTACTCATCAAATACTCTTCCAAATGCATTATATTTATGACCCGATGTCTCAGTTGCTATATTGCTACTGACAAATGTGACTTGCCTGAAAAGTTTGTCTTGATTTCCCTGACAACTCTGCAGCTGGCTATCTCGTTGGCAGACTTTTAATATGGAGTAAAATGATCCATCTTTTGTGACTCCTTTCAGTATCTTATTATGGAAGGAAATAGTCTTCAAAATATATGATTGGGAGTTATGAAGGTTACTCTTCCTTTCTAAAAGAAGAAAAGATAAAATCAAAAAGTCATAAAGAACAATTAAAAGAGTCAAAGTAGCAGAACAAATGGATAATCCAACATAATGAATTTAGACTACGAGTTCATGGTCTGGCATCTCAGAAAATAGTCCAGCATGATTGGGTGAATAGATAAAGTATTGAAGAGAAAGTATTCATATAAAACCTAGACTTGAAGGAGACAGAAAAGAGACTTTGATCTTGAATTATTCTTCCAGGATATTCCTATTTCCCCTGCTTTCTGAATAGAAATTATTTTCACTTTTTGTATTCTTTTTCTTATCAACTATTTGTTATTTATAAATTAACCATTATTCTGCCACCATTTCAAAGAAACTAGGTCTCTTATGTATTTAAAATACTTTAACTCTCCTCAGTTTTCCTGACTAACAACTAAAACAAACAACAGAGAAACCCAAGTACTGCTATAGATTCAGTATCAGATTCATACCAAGAATACACATGTGAATTTAACTACTTTCAATAAAATGCCTAATATATGCATCAAGTGAAACTAGGGAAGTTCTCCCAGAAAAGCCATATTTTATTAATTCCAAGGTTTTATGAATAGCTCTCTTCCGCAGCTTCCCTTCATCCTCTTCCTTCAATCTCAGCACTTATGTCATTCAGAGCAATCATAGCTGCATACTCAAAAAAATGCCTTTTCAAATTCTGCCACATCTCTTTAGATTCTAAATTTTTTCAGAGCCTTAAAATATAGTAGCTGTATTTGTTATTTAATTGTGTATTCATGTACCCAGAGGTCTTACCTCTTTAAGTACTTAAACTACTCTTACGTACTTGTAAGGGCTTTGTTTTCTGTTGCCTTTATAGCTCTTTCACATCATAAAAGGCATAATTACATAATTTACACACAAATACACAAATAACTATATACATATTTATAAATATGGGGAGATTAAAGAAGAAATAGCTTTCCACAAAAGGCTCACATTACTTTTAGTTATTTCTTAAATGCTTATTAAATGCCTATAATTATTGGTTGAGTAAATATTAAATTCTCAGCATAGGAGCAAAGAATAGATTTCAATAAGAATAATATATAAGCCTCAGGCACCAAACAATTAAAATCAAAACAAGCTGATATTGCACTTTCCTTGTCTCTCATGTGCATGATTTCCATCTGGATAGATCCAATTTGGTATTTCTCTCTTTATGATCCATGGATCTTCTCCTTGTTCCAACTTTGAGATGACATCTGGTTTGGAAACTGGATATCCTATTAAATGGAAATCAGGAAGGAACTGGATTGACTGCACTGAAGGAAGAAAAGAAGGTACAATTTCAGGTATTCTAAAATGAAGTTGTCTATTTAGCCCTCAACAAAGTGATGACCTCCATTTGCAAACATATGAAGGTCATGAAATTCATATGTATCAGGAACCAACTAAACACAGTAACTGATAAAGAAAGGCACTTGATTATACAACTGGATTATACAGGGAAGCCATACTTACCCATTGAGGCCAGATGGCTGAAGTTCTCCAGCATCACATCCCTATACAGGGTCCTCTGAGCAGGATCCAATTGCTGCCACTCCTCCTGGGTGAAATCCACAGCCACATCTTTGAATGATACTAACCCCTGTAACAGTACATTCCTATTCAATGTGAAGTGATCATTTTCATCATTACTACTATAGTATACAAAACTATACCCACATCATAGTTTTTGAGAGAAACAATGTAAAGCTCTATTCTTAGCAAGAAAAATCAGATCAGGAAAATGAAGAGATAAACCATAAAATGCCTATCTAATATATATATGGTAATTTAATAAATGATAAAGATAGCATTCAAGTAACTGGGAGGAAAAAAGATTATTCCATGAATGCTTCCGAAATCGCTGGTACAATCAATAGAATAATATTAAAGCAATATGTTATTGGTTGAAATGTTTCTCCTAAAAACAGATATGCTGAACTAACCCTTAATACTGCAGAACATGGCTTTACTTAGAAACAGAGTCCTTGTAGATATAACTAACTATATGAAGTCATTAGGGTTGGATCCTAATCCAATATATTTTATGTCCTTGTCAGAAGGAGAAATTTGAGCAGACAAGGACAAAGGGAAGATGATGCAAAGAGATGCAGAAAAAAAATGGCCATGAAAAAGTAAAGGAAAGAAACCTGGAATAGATTCTTCCTTCACAGTCACATAAGGAAATAATCCTGAAGACATCTTGATTTTGGACTCCAAGCCTCCAAAACTAAGGCAATAAATTTATGTTATTTAAGTTAACCAGTGTGTGGTGCTCTGATATGGCAGCCCAGGCAAACTAATACATTATATCTTATACCTTAGAAAAGACAATAAAATAAATTGTGATGGAAAAAAATTTAAACTCTAAGATGTCCTAGAGATCATAAAGTCAGAAAAAAGAAAAAATTTTATTTACAAGTATAGGGCAGAGAAGTCCTTTTGAAATACCAACATAAAAAAATAGAAAATAAAAGAAAAACCACATTTACAGAATCGTACAAGATCAGTGCACTAGAAACTAATTAACTGACTCTCATTTTTGTGGGAAAAAGATCTTAGCTTCCTCCAAACCCAATTGTTCTTTTATAGACATGCAACAGCTAGCAATATAATGAAATATACCAATTACAATAGTAACAAAAGATAAGAAATATCAAATAACAGGTACAACAAGAAATGTGCAGAAAACATTTATGAAGAAAACTACAACAAAGTTGCATTCAATCAAAATAAAAGATTTGGGTAAGTAGAGAGCAATATAGTGTCTCTGGAGGGAAAACTGTGACTTATGTCACCATTATTTTCACAATAGTTGTCATCTAATAGTGAAAATTAATCTAATAGTGGAATGATTTGTTATTATTTTAAGCTACTTTTCAGGATATTTCCTAAATATTTATTTTCTAAATTCTCCATTGTTATTAAGTGTTGCTTTCAGAATGAAAACAAATGAAGTATTGTTTCAAATATCAACACTTCCCTTCTTCAAAGCCTCGGTGGTTTCCCTCCTAGCACACAGAATTAGTCCCAGCCATCTCAGTTGTAAACTTTTTCTCCTCCCACATATGGTTCCCTACGCACACCGCCAAGCTGCCAAGCACTTTGCCCATGACAGCCCCATTTAGTTTCCTATTGTACATATGAGAAAACTGAGAACTGTAGTCATTAAGAAACTACTGGCCAAAGATTATATACAGAAAATATGATTGATTGATTAATTTTCAGATTTATAAGATTTACTCTGAGTCACCAGCTTGGTTCTTTACTACTCACTTCAGACTGCCTCCTTGATATGGAAAACATCATCTTTCAAGTTCTATCACTTCAGTCCCATGCATAGGCAACCTCTCCATGCAGCACTTACCTCTTCAGTTTTCCTCAAATCCTCAGCTTTCCTAAAATTATTTTGTACTTGCTACTTTCACAAATGCTGCCTCCCATCCTCACCCCATTTCCTTCATAACCCAGAGGTCAATAATCCTTTAAGCCTCTTACCTGCCTCCTTACAAAGCTGTTGGCTCCTCCTCTCTGTGATAACAGCACACTGCTTGTTCCCTGCCTGTTACAGAGCTTTTCTGTGTTAACCCATCTCTTCATGCCACTTTTCTTAGAAGTGCTACCAGTAAAGAAGAATGTCTAAATATTCTTGAGATATTCAACAGCTACCCAGTTGGCATAAATTGGCATAAATTGAGTGCTCGAGAAAAAATGTGCTGAAAATGAATGAAGATTATAAAATTTAAAATAACTAAAACTCATGGTCAGTTAAAAGTAGTTTTGGGGCTGGGACTGTAGCTCAGTGGTAGCGCACTTGCATCACATGCATGGCCCTGGGTTTTATCCTCAGCACCACATAAAAATAAATAAATAAAAACAAAGATATTGTGTCCATCTCCTACTTAAAAAAAACATTTTTAAAAAAGTAGTTTTGTACAGCAGTCTGTCATACTCTTTTGATCTGAAAAGTAGTAACATGAGAAAGATAGAATGTAGAATATAGAGGAAATACATTCTTATAGCAAAATGTATGTTATAATTCTAGCATTCTGATTGTGCTTTATTAGTGTTATTCAAGTGCTTAATATACTAAATAGATATGTATTTTGTTAATTATGAGAAAAATATGGTGTACAATCAGTGAAAATTTATACTTTTGTCATGTGTAAATAATTTTTACAGCTTGGGTGGCTGGGAGAATGGAAATGCCATTTAGAGAAGAAAAGTGGCAGAGAATTGGGGCAAGTGTTAGAGGGAGAAAAGAAGGGGAGAAGTAGAAGTAATGCCTTCACTTCTGAATGGTACAGAAGATGAAGCCCTCTTCCTGAAGGAACAAGCACTTATTCAGCTAATTAGCCAGGGTAGTTGGATTTATTGGGCTAATAAAAAAATCTATTCTTATTCTTTAAAGCAGTGCTAACTAAAAGGAATATAAAACTAAAGAGAAAAACTATTTTAGATTTTCTAGAAGTTACATCCAAAAAGTTATTTTTAATATTTTATATTTATCCCTGTATACTGCCTCAAATATCATTTCAATATATAATTAGCTTTAAAAACTATTAAGTGGGTTTTCTGGAATTTTATCTTCAAATTTCAGTACATATTTAACACTTAAAGCATTTTAATTCAGACTAGCCAATTTCAAGTGCTCAATACTGAAAGGTTAATAAAATAGGTACTTGTCACTCCGTTTTTCTGTATGCTTAACAAAACACTGTTGAAATCCTGAGAACTGTTTGTTAATCTTGTTCCCAGAATGCGCTGTCCCCAACTGCCAAACTGCAGAATGCACTCCCTCACTTGGTGGCAGGCAAACTGCCCACTTGCCCTGACCCGTCAATGAACTTCCCTCCCTGCCCTCTCCAAGAAAAGTATATAAGCTCTGCTTAAGCTCTTCTCAGGGCTCTATCTCTCTTTGCTCTAGTGAGCTCTGAGCCCCAGCATGCTGGTCCCCAAATAAACCCTTTGCTGTTGTATGAGGCAGTCTCTTGGTGGTCTCTTCCTCCGACATTTCGTCAGTCCCTTACAATACCACATGTAACCACTAATGGCTACCACATTGAACAATAAAACTCAGTGCTCCTGACATCGAGGAAGAAAAATGAACTCATCTTTTTGCAACAGAACTCAGTTGTTAAGTTCTATCGTAAAATATGCAAAAGGATTACTAATGTAAAAGCTGATTTCAAGATTTGACAATCACAATGATGAGATAATAACAGCTAATTGCACACAGTAGAAACCATGTCCCAGTTATAGTTCCAGGCATGCTGCCTGCTCACTTAATTCTCACAACCCTATGAGGACTACCATCTCCATCGTTACAAATGAGGAAAAAGTTCCAGGCAACCAGGCCAGAAGAAATATTATGCATCTGATAAAACAACAAAGAAGAATGCTATGTACTGACATGGGCAGATAAACAAAATGTATGTGAAAATCTTATACTGGACAGAAAGTCGAAAACCAGGTTGTGAACAAAATGTTCACTATAATATCATTTTTTCAAAAGGAACATACAAGAAAATAGGAGGCATTAAGATTTGCAGGGTTAGAAATAATAACACTGAATATCTCAGGGAAAGGAGGCATTAAGTTAAATAGACTCTGTTTTTAATTTTTATTTTCTTATATAGTTTAAAATTTTTATACCATGCAGAAGGCGAGTGTTGATTAAAAAATTAACACATATTTTTAAAAATGGAAGAGCAGAGAAGAAACAATCAAACTGGAGAGTAATCCTACAAATTCTGAAACCACAACAAAGAACACAGAGCACAGGGAGTTTTGCCCTCCAAACCTTTGCCAGTTAAATATAATTTAAGAACTATTTTTTTTTTTTTGAGAGACTTAAGTATTTTGGAAGAACATTCAAAATGTGTCTATCTTAAATTATCTAGATTCTACCTCTGGATAAAGCTAGACTCTAGAAAGTCTTTACAATCATTTTCTCCTCTAAGGCAGGTGTTGACAATTTTTTTGGTAAAGATAACATTTTTGACATTGTAGACTATCCAGTCTCTGTTGTAACTACTCAATCCCACCACTGCAGCTGGAAAATAGGTATGGATAATATATCAACAAATATGACTGTGCCTCAGTAAGACTTTGTTTGCAAAAAAATTGGAGTACTGAATTTGGCCACAAAATAAAATCCAAGTGTTTGGCTAAAAAATTATCATACCTCCCATTCTAAAAAACATAATTTTAAGACACATGTACTGGTACATTTACCAAAGGAGTGTTGAATACTGTGTACCTAGAGACAGACCCAAAAATAGCCTTTTTTTTTTCTTTATGTCTTATACAGCAAGAAATATTTTCTTCCCATAGGAAATTGATCTGCTTTAGGGAGATGCAAATCATGAAATCATATAACTTATGATGTCTATTTCTGTAAGAAGGGACAGAAAAATTGATATGAATTTAGAAAAACAGTTTTGAGCCAGGTTTCTACATATTACTCAGCAGCTCTTTCTAGGTCTTGATCTTTATTATTCCTACCTTTACCCTAAGCTAAATTTTAAATACTTGTGCTTTTCCATTTGACTATGTAGAAAACCAAGGTGGTAAATGTTTAAAAAGCAACTTACCTGGGACTTCATTTTCTGCTGTCTTCCACAAGAGCAGATGCCTGAAAAAACAAAACTGGTGATCAGAGTCAAAATTTCACAGTCCAAATCCAGAATGTAGCACCACATTCAGCATTCTAGAAACCACCACCATGTAAAGTCAGGTGGGTAATGGTCCACCTTGTGGGAGAAGGTTGAGAAGGTTATTTGAACCTCACAGAACTATCAGCAAACACCATTTGGAGAAGGTATCAACCATTAACTTTTATTTGTTTTGTGTCTTTAATATGATCACAAAAAACTCAAGACATTTTTTTTTCTTTTTTAAACTTCGATTCATGTAAGGATATGTGTTCAGTTGATTTTCTAAGAGTATATTGTTCCTCCTGGAAACCAGCAATTCTACTTAATAATCATGGGCAGTTATTTCCTAAGGGTTCAGATAGTTTTCTCAAACCTAGCAAACCCTCTTGCCAAATCAATATTGATGAACTAAAATGTTAATTTTAAGATATTTTCTGCTGAAATTTTTATTGCTGATTTTCAACAGTGTGTACAAAAATGGTAATAAGTTTGATCCACCGATAAAAGGAAATATTTCACAATGCAGGATGGTACAAACCTGGTAAATAAGTATCAGTCCCAGGAAGAGTCATGAGTACAGGGCTAAACTGGTTTAAAGCAAGTGGGGCTTCTATGAGAGGGAGACTATTTTATATAGGGTATCCCAGGCTTTATTAAAACAGACCTGGAAGGAAACAAGACAGTTATTCATATCCTGAAACTCAATGTCTTTTGACTAAAATATAAGGTGATTTCAATGAAAGAGGGGAGCTGAAATTACACTTTTCATAATAATCCTCTCTCTTCAGGTTTCTTTGGTTTCGCTAAATGACCATTTCTGAGGAAAGGCATGAGGTTATGGGGGACAATGGGAGACTGAGAAGATGTGACCAGAGCTTGACTTCTACTCAACAGCTGCCTATGACTGGAAACTTAATGTAAAGGAGAGCCTTTCTTAGTAAATAGCGGCTACTAGGTCGCCCTGACTCTATCATTGTTTCTTCCAAATTTCTGAACCCCTAGCAATCACATGCTCCATATTGACTCCCCCATCCTTTAGTCCATTGCCCCCCACCAAACAGATTCCTCAGAGCGATCTAAGTCATTGTACCCTGTTAGCCCTCCTTCACATCATTCCTGACCCCACAGACACCCCGTCATTCCCCAATTGTTAATCGAACAGCTCATCCATCCCTGACTCAGAAATGAACCCAACACTAACCATACGCACCTCCCACCCCGTGATTTCATAAACCTCCCATCACAGACCCGGACTGACGCGTCCCTTCCCATTATCAATCCCACCGACTCACTCCTCACTGGACACGTTCCTCTTCTGACCCCCAGCTCGATTATCAGGTCCCGAAACGCTCATCACGGCTTAACCGGGATGGCTGTCACGTCCAAAGTAGCAACTCTCCCGCTTCCTGTCGGTGAGCACCTAGCCGAGCTCCGGAGCCTGCGCCTTTCCGTACCAGGCGGCTTTGTTCAGCAAGCAATATGGCTGCTCCCAATTGCTCTTTGGCAGGGAGCCGCCATCATGAAAGTCAGATAGGTTCCGTACAAACACCGGATTGGCCTGGAACTGGGCTGTACCACCACGCTAGAGAAGTGGGGGAAGAGGGTGAAGAAGACTACCATAAGAACAAATGAACTGCGCATTTTTGCAGAGAGATTTTAAGCGGACACTAGGAAGGAGTTTGATTCTTTTGTTGAAAGAGGAATAATTTGGAACGGTAAAATATTTTCTTTAGCGCATCTACACACACGTGTTTGGTGAAGTCCTCTCCCGGGTGATACCACATTTGGGACCAAAATCTGGGTGGAGAAGGGATAAATAGTCTCATCAAGACTTTAGTTATTCTAATACTAATGATACAGAATTGTTCTAGGGGAAATTGCAAGTGCAATTTATAGTTATATATTTATTTATCATAATAATAAAATTTAGGGGGCAGAATGAAGGAGAAAGAGGATACTTGAGAGAGTTAGGGAAAAAGAGGCTGAAAAACTAGGACAAGGAGAAGCAGAGAATTTGACTAACCAGCAAAGGAGAGACAGGCTAAGAACACATTGACAATGGGGGGCGTGAGGAGAAGGGAGAGGAGAGAGGAGGGGAGAGGAGAGAGAGAGAGGAGAGAGAGATGCAGGGCAAAAAGAAATAAAAGGTGTAGGAGATAGATAGGTGTAGGAACAGAAATGGGAAGCTAAGGGAACAAACTGCAGGAGACTGGGAGAGAGATTGCGATTCAAAATAGACACTACAAAATAGGGAAAGAAAATGAAGGGAAGTATTGTTGAGAATTTTAACAAAATAAACACTTGATGCAAAAAGAAAATACTAAAACTGTTATATTCACCGTTAGTCCTTACATAGAGCATTTATACATTTTAGAGATTCACTGTTAGGGGACAGATAGGTGAGGACGGTGGGAACATGAGATTAAAAGAATAATTTCATAAAATGGGCCTGCTATGCTGACCCCTGCATGCTTTCTTTTCTAAGAAGCAATCAACCTGCAGCCCTGCCTGGTGTAAATGGACAGTCTATGTCACATTCCTCAGCAAGCTACCTGTTGTCTGTAGGAGAAATGCAGGACCCAAATAATGTTGATATTAGGACCTCAAGTAACACTGAAGGGGGAGACTTTTGGGACTGTTTCATAGACCAGATCCTGAAACTCAGGGAGTTGAGGATAATCCTTTCAACCTTAAAGCTTGTAAGACTTTAAGAATCAGAACCAATCAGCATGAGCCAAGGTGACCTAGAGTGTCACGGCAGCAGGTATTTGAAATTCTGATGTCATCCTGCTTTGAGTCAAAAGTTGAAAGGTGGACCTGGGCAGGACTCAGGAAAATTCTCCGGGATTACCAATAAAACTGGAGTGCAGGCGAGGCAAGGTGACTCTCCTTTCTGAGAGGATCCAATCTTTTCCTTGAAAGTGTTCCCTTTTCCTATCCATTCAATAAAGTCACTGTCTGGTATTTTGAGCAAATGTCTAAAATATTTCTGAATTGATGGCAAGAATCAGGGTTTGAAGTGGGGGAGGGGTCTTTGCTCTTCCTCAGTTTCCCTGAAGGCTTGAGCCCTGTAACAACTTGAATAGACATGTTTTCTAGCTTTCATATGGGCCATGATTTTTGGTATGTAATTAAATAAGGAACAAGTTTACATTTAGCAATTGTGTTTCTCATGTCCACTAAAAAATCTGAACTTAGATAAGAAAGACTTTATTTAGAACGACTTGGAATAGGAAGAATGCTCCAATTTCAAAATTCTGAAAGCATCTCAATATCAAACAAAATGCTCTTTTATAGGGATGAGTAAGAAGAGTTAGCAGGAACTTTGTGGGGGAGGAGGAAAAGGTGGAGGTGTGCAGGTGGCAAAACCAGGGCATTTCAGTGGGAATAGTTGTTATGGTTGTGGGATTCTGAGCATAAGCAGTTAAGGGGAGGCAGGATGTTCAGCAGTCTAATGCTTTGGTGTGTCTTTAAATTCTCATGTGAGCCAAAGCTAGAGAGAGAAGAAGAAACTAGAGGAGAGAAGCCTGACTAAAATTTGGTCACGATGGAGAAGAAGATAAGAAATGTCTAATTGTGAGCATGTGATCACTCACTTCGATTTAAACTTCCGTAGTTCGATTGATAGTTACTGATTGCTTTTTGTTTAAGGCAATATATATTTGGGAGCACTTCTATCCAGCTGGATCTTTCCAAAGGATGAGCCCATCTGAGTCTCTGTGACAGGTTTGCCAAACTTTGTTCCACAGTGAACCTTGAATCTCAGTCCCAAACTGTCCCAGTTATATACTGAGAACAGTTCTGTCTATCAAAGGAGCCGAAGAGAGCACAACCGGCAATTCCCCTGAAGGCTGAGATCAGAGTTGACTTCAATTCCATGTGGATTTTGAAACAGCCTCTAAATTACCTCTGGTTCTTCTCAACTGAAGTTTCAGAGCAGGCTTGTTCACCCAGGAACCCACCTAGAGGCAAACCTATCTCATGTCCCTGAATGAATACAGGACTGAAGATTTAATTTTCTGTCATGAACACTGAAAAAACCCTGAGTCTTAGTTTTAGACCCATTTAAGTCACAGACAGGCAGTATGGCCAGTCCAAGGACCTCCTGAGAGACCCAGAGGAAGCCTCCCTACCAATGCATCTGGTAACAGACCTGCCAAAATCTGAACTGTGGAGCCTCATCCCAGAACCAGTCCCACAGATTAAGGTCTCGGAGATAGTTTAGTACATCCCCAAACCACACAGAATCCATGCCCGCAAGAGACCCCTAGTAATTATGCTGTACACTCAACATCAGCACCAACTGCAAACCCTGGATATAACCCCATCAATTGTAATCCTGAAGATAATTCTAACAGGACATGACTTCAACTAGCCAAAATCAGTCTGTAAAGACCAAAAGAGGGGTTTTCTCCTTCAAATGCACATATATCAATGCAAAGCTATACAGAAAACAAAGTATCACAAAAATATTATACTACCAAAGGAAAGTTAAGAGATCTCTAATGTATTATCCCAAAGAAATGAAAATATATAAGTTGCCCGAAAAAGTGTTCAAAATGATCATCTTAAGCATAATGATTCATAAGAAAATAGAGATAACTAAAGGAAATTAGCAAAAAAAATATGAACAAAAGGAATTTAGTAAGCAAAATAGAAACTATAAAACAAACCAAACAGAAATCCTGGAGCTGAAGAAATCAATGATGGAATTTAAAAACTCAATAAAGAGCTTCAACAGCATACTTAATCAGGCTGAAAGAAAGAATTAGTGACTTAAAATCAGCACATATGAAATTAGCCACTTAGAGGAATAAAGAGAAAAAATGTCAAAAAAGGGTGAAAAAAAGCATAAGAAACTATTATATTTTACATATGACATGTCCCCTAAAAGATCATGTGAGACAATACAAGAATGTTCAGAAGTTAAATGGTTGAGTTATGAGAACCTTAACCTAATTAATACATTAATCAACTGATAGGGGTTAACTGGGTGGTAACTGTAGGTAATTAGGGTGTGGCTGGAGGAGGTGGTTCACTGGAGGCATGCTTTTGGAGCTTACATTTTGTCCTTGCTTAGTGGAGCTCTCTGGTTCCTAATTGCCATGTCCTGAGCTGCTTTCCTCTGTCACATTCTTCTGCCATAATATTCTGTTTCACCTTGGGCCCAGAGCTATGGAGTTGGCCATCTATGGTTGAGACCTCTGAAACCATGAGCCAAATAAAGTTTTCTATCTCCAATTGTTCTTGTTTGGTCTTTTGGTCACAGTGATGAAAAGGTTGACTAAAACAGGGACTTATGGGAAAACATACACTGTATGGATGGATGAACTATGGGAGTACCAGAGATAAGAAAGTATAGAAAGCTTACTTTATGAAATAGTGTCTGAAAATTGTCCAAATCTTGGGAGGGATATAGATATTTAAATCCAAGAATATTAAAAGGACTTAAAGAAGGATTAATTAAAAAACAGAACCCCAACACTGAAAAACATTTAATTGAATTATCAAAGTGAAAGACAAAAAGAGACTCTTAAAAGCAGTGAGAGATAAGAAATTTATTATACACAAAGGATCTAATATATATATATATTCAATATATCAATATATATTGATATATTGGATACATATTATCAACAGGAAACTTGAAATCAAGGTTTCTCAACAGAAACCTTGAAATCAAGAGGGAGATAACATATTCAAGTGCTAAAAACAAATCTGTCAACAAAGAATACTATACCCAGCAAAGCTATCATTTTTTTAAAAAGGTGTTACAAAGACATTCCAAGAAAAATAAAAGCTGAGCGAGTTTATCACAAAAACAGGTTTATAAGAAATGCTTAAAGGAATTCAAGTTAAAACAAAATGGCTGGGGCTGGCTGTATCTCAATAGCAGAATGTGTGCCTAGCATCCATGAGGCACTTTGGTTCATCTCAGTACCAATAAAAATAAATAAAATAAAGACATTCTGTCCATCTACAAGTATAAAAAATTTTTTTAAAAAATATGAAAAAATTATAAATAAAACATATGAATGTATAAAGCTTACTTTAAGGAATAATAATAAAGAGGAGACAAAGACAAGATACAGAGGCAGGGAACGTGGCAGAGTGGCTCATTGTCCAAGCGGCCACCTTTATTTATACCAATAAGTTACATTAGGTCGTTAGTAACATAACTACATTATTGTTTAGAGTATC